AGAAGGAAAGAGAAAGATCTGGAGAGTCTCACTGTGAAGACCAAGCATCTTAACCCAGAAATGAGGTATATTTTACTTACAGCTCATTGTACAGAATTCACATGATTCTCTTCCTGGCAATAAAGAGCAGAGAATTGTGAGTCTACTGTGTGCCCAGAATGGGGCAGAAACAAGAATATTTGGCAAATAGCAGTAATGACTCCCACTATCATTGCACCTGAAATAAAATTAATTGCTTTGGAATAAAGAACAACTAAATTTGGCCACTTACAAGAATCTATCTCTTCAGTTAGTTTGCATGATTCTATACGTTCCTTACGTTGATGAAGTAAACAGACTTTTGCCAGACTTTACTGTAAGACAGAGAGAGAGGAGGCCCTCCTGAGATGAGCAGACCAGTAATTATTTAGCCATGCTCTCTCCATGCCCCATTAGTGGTGACATATTGCAGTGAAATGACAGCATTTCCCCGAGGAATAATTCTGCAGGTAACAAGCCTGGGAACAAAATACTGTCTGCTGTGCATTCGCTGAACATGATGAAGAAGGAAAAAGCTAATTACTCGAAATATTTCCATTGTTACTAACACCTGCTTATCAATAGTTTCCATGGGTTTTCATATTCCTAAATATTAAACCTATGAATGCTAAGACTCTTCTAAGTAGATCCTCTTAGAACCACCAAACAGCTAGAGTAAAACAAACAGAACACAATGCTGGAACCAGACCTATAAGAGAATGAGCAGCACTGTAGAGGCAGTCTGGTAATTCATTAGGAAAAAGAAGGCTGTGTTTATAACAACTGCTGGAAAGTGAGGGGATGCTGAGGCTGAACTGGTGTTTGCGGTTCAGTTACGTAAAGACAGCCACGCTGATTTATATTTCCCATTCCTCTCTCATTCCAGGCTAGAAACAAAATGTTTGCTGTTAGAGTAATTATTAGCTATGGTCACTTGCGAGTTTTGTCAAATTATGTTGAAACAGCAATTTGTAAAGATAGTTGTTGACCTTAGGAACATAGTGATTCACAACAAACAACTCAGACTAATTTCCTTAGTTCTCAACGTAGTACCGAGGAGGAGAATGGGCTCAACTCAGCTGCCCAACATCTATGTTCCTTTCAGTAGTTCAGTCCAAATGGGAGCCGCTCTGACCACAGGAAGATGAGAAGGGTGATGAGACACACAAAGCCAGTCATGGCAGGACGGATGCAGAAAGGGGGGAAATGTCTAGCAAAGTGCACAGTTTTACCCCTCCGTCCCAAATGACTCATATTATCTGTGTGGTTCATTAAAAATAAAGTATCAAGCTGGACCTATGCTTTTTCAGGGACAGAAGAGTCAGATGTTTAAGTTCCTGGATATTAAGGCGAATTGATGATACGCAGTTATCAGAATAATCAGAAGATCAAATGCCCAAAAAAAGGACTGTAGAAAAGCATGTTGAGAAGTTCAGAGCTAGTAGGGTAATTCACATTAACACACACACACACACACACACACTCTCACACACACACGTTGAGAGTGGTCAGGTACCAGAGGTGCAGAGAGGCAGAAGTTCTAACGTTCAGAAAGACTTGCTAGGCAAGTCAGTAACAAAATGGGACAGCCTGATTCTGAAACATGGTTATCTTTCCAGACATGATGACCACAGCAGGACAGTGGGCAGACCTGTCCCCCAAACCATGGGCTCAGCCCCTAAGGTGATGCCTCAGTGAGTTGTTGCACAAGCTCCCACCGTTCTACTGACAAAGATTTGAATAATCGCTGAATTGCTGGAGATGTGAGGGAAGCTCTGCAGAGCCAGGACTGCAGTGCAGATTCAGTATTTGCTGGTACCTCAAACCACAGTTGGAGCCACAGAGCATCTTGTAGGAACTGGTACAATGTCCTGCTTGTGAGTCGATTTACATGGCTATATTTTAATCTAAATGTTATTTATACCTATGGATTTAATTTCTTTTTTTCCTGAGCAAGCATTTTAGCCCCTGAGTATCACAAAGGTCGAATAGTTACCGGTGGGAATTATATATATTACCTGTGATAATCAACTAATTCTTGTTTAAATTAATCTCATACTTAGAGCAGGCCCAAACACAACGATACAACATAAGTGATCTTTAGAAACTAGCATCCTTCTCTAGATGGAAAGTACATATGTGAGGACTAAACATAACCAAGTTCAAGATCAGTAAAGTTCAAATGAATAGGAGAAAAATAAAAATAGATCACACCGGAAGATAAAATGAAAGAAAAGAAACAGAAGGAAGAAAATATATTCAAGAAAGTAAGTAGGACTGTTATAGTGATGACAACTGAATAGAAAAATAAGGAAGGTTGACTCATTGTATGTAAGATTAAAGTGACGTGTAATTGTCATAAAGAACTCCAGGAAGCTTGCTAATGTGTATTAAATAGTAGTGGGCTACCTATCCATCTATATAGAGAAAGAGAGATAAAATAAGTTTGGAATAAATCAATTACTGATATTTACTAAATCAATTTTTGACATGAGTGGACTAGAGTAAATTTGTTAATAACCTAGCTTCTGTATAAAACAGAAGTAAAAATCATAATTGTAGCAGATTTGACTGGGGGATATTCTGTTTCGTAACATGTCAAGAACTAGTTAAATATGCAAAAAAAAATCTACTATACTGAAATCAGGTCAATACAAAATAAACTGGCAAATAGACCAAACAGATTTCAAATATGCATTCCATTATGAAGGAAATTTGGAATACAAAGAGAACGTATTAAGACAAATTCTGAGGCTTCCAGGTTGATTCCAAAGAAATGTAATGTCAGATTTTAAATCTTTTAGCCACTCTGTTAAAAATGAACAATATAATTTAAATGAAGAAATTAGCACTTTATGATCTACGCTTGGCTTTATATATGGATACTGCTTTCATCTTACTTTATCTTATTAGTTCTTCATGGCGTACATTGCTAAAGGTGAGATGCAAAAATTGAGCCCTCCCTGGGTAGAGGAAAAAAAAGATAATAATCTTTGAGATTTTTGTCAGAACTCATATTCCACAGTCTCAGGATGTTTTTATAGGATGAGAGTATTCACCTGTGAAATACACCAACTGTACCACACATGACATCTATGTTATTAGAGGGGACGTGGGAAAAGACAGCACGACTCCCAGTTTACATGTGGCACCTGGACCAGCACTCCCGTTCTGAGCTTTGCTTTTTCCTCTTAACGTCTGACTGAATTCCCGATTATGTTTTCCCTCTTAGAATCAGAATCCCACCTCTCTCTGATGTTGCTCTATTCAAACTGAGTTGTCTAGAAGTCCACCCAGTTCATGGTTTATGCTAAAAGTTGCAAGTATGTGTTCATTTTTATAAGCACATGCTGCCCTAGTACTCAAAAATAGTCGATAGTGAGATAAGTTTTGTGATAAGTGAGATAAGAAATGGTGATGAGTTCATTCTGATCCAGTCCTACCCTCTTATACCCAATTCACAGAGTATCACACGCCTGGATATCCGAGAGTGCTGAGGTCTGGGGTACAACATACACACAGAGCTTCTAGAAGGAAGCTTGCAGGGGCTCTAAGAGAAGTGATGAGCTAGTCCACAGTCACAACTTCATAAAGATGAAACTTTAACCAACACATTTAAAGGAGACAGACTGAGATTGACAATGATGATTATCAAGATGCCATTGCTATTTTTTAAAGTAGTATGTTTTAGAAACAGCAGTAGAAATGTTAATAAAGACCAAGTCCATTAATCCTATCACTCACAATCTAAGTTAATGAAATCTCTGAGACAGCTCTTTTGACAATCGTGAAATCCTCTCCTACAAAGCTGCCCTGTCTCATACTCTGTTCTTCATTCCTGTCTTTCCGAGTCTCTCCTCAGCTCTCTTTCCTCTGTCCTCTTTCACCCCTTGTCCTGGTCTCCTCTCTCCCTCCTTCTTCCCCCTTTTCTCGGAAACGCCAGCATTTCTTCCCATTTGGTTCTGAGAATGTTGCGGAGCGTCTCGGTTAGAGGTGTCGTGTAGCAGGGGTCTGTTAGCCCCACTCATGTCACAGCCTCGAGCTCCATTCCTGGGGGTGGGGGACTGTCTCGCACAGAAGGAGGACCCGGATGTCAGCAGCTCTCACAAAGCTTGTTTTCATCAGATCTGACGTATTGCTATTCCCTCAACTTCCTGAGCTGCAAAATACACCCCACCCTTACACTGGGGCACAGATGGTGCTTACCAAATTAACAGGACACATTTGAACACACACAACCTCACAAGATATACATTCAGTGTAAAAGAATCATCTGTTCGGCATTGCCTGCCCTTGCATTCTTACCACTATCCTTACCTTTTCTTATTTTACCTGCTTATTTTCTCTCTGCCTGTGATGAGGACGTGTTCTGTCTGTTTTCTCAGTTCTACTAGTGTGTTTGAAATGACCCCTCCACTTAGAGACACTGTAGGGTAGTGGTTGACATTATAAATTCTGGAGTTAAATTGGTTCAGTTCCTGGTTCAATCGCTCATCGCTGTGTGACCTTGGGTAAGCTACCTTAATGGAACCTATTTCGTGTAGCTGTAGGGGGATTAAATGAGTTCGTATGTGTCAAGTTTTCTGGGTCCAGAATCAGTGTTCTTTATAGCATCCCGCTTCTGAGGTTGCTGTTAATTAGCTATCAGACCATGAGCAATACTACCAACAATCCTATGACCCAATCTCATTATCAGTAAAGTTTCTTCCAACTTCAATGCAGTTGATTCATTCAACAAACATGGGTGGAGTGAATCAGGCAGGCACTGAGCTGGGCACTAGGTCACTGCAGTGAACGAGACAAACATTGCCCTGCCGCCCCAAAGCTTATGATGTAATGGAAAAGACTGGGCTACACATTTGAAGAACAGAGGCTATGACTGGGGGAACCGCCCTAGTCCAACGACATTTTCCCTGAGGAAATGACATTTAATCTGAAAACTGAATGAGTAATATTTAGAACAATGAAATGGCTCTAGGTAGAAAGAGTGGTAAACAAGAAGACCCTGAGAAGAAGAGAGCCCGGGACATTCTGAGAACTGAAACAGAGCTAGCAAAGCTTTCACAGAGAGCGCTAAGTGAGAATGAGGAGGAAGGGAAGGGAGTGAAACTGGAAAGTGGCCACATCCCAGGGGACCCCAAGCTACCCACATAAACAGGAAAAGTAGAGTATTTGCTGCTTAATCACAGCTTCTAAGTCTCCAGACCTCACTTTCCAGGTTGCTGGCCTTAACAGAACTCTAGAAACACCATTGCCAGAGACATGGGCAGAGGACAGATCTGGAGGATCTCAAAGGCTCTGTAAGTATCTTGGTCTTTCTCCCAAAAGCAATGAGCAGCCATTGAAATGTTTTAAGCAGGGGTTTGAAGTGATCAGGTTTTCTCTTTAAAATCACTTGGCTGCCCTGTAAAGGATACACTGGAGGGGACATAAAGACCAATTAGCAGCACTGCAAGCGACTGATGACAGTGGTTCAGACTAGGGTGGTGGCTGTGGAACTGGAGGGAAGTAGGTAGATTCATAAGGTAAAAGAATAATTGATGGAGTGTGGAAAATAGAGGATACAGGTGATTTTAAAATATTTTCTGATGCTTCTACAAATACTTATGCCTTATGAAACTACTCATGCATATTAGTTCATTCAACAAACACCTTTTGAGTGCTTGAGATGTCTAAGATATGTCTCTCATGGCACACTGGTATTATGTTAAACTTAAGAATAGTAGCCACTGACCTCATTTGAGTTCAACACCAGAAATATGGATCACCAAGGAATGACATTAAGGAGTTCTATAGCCCAGGGCTAGGAGGAGGAGCAAGTACAGAAGCAAATCTACCTACTCTACCAGTTAGACTGAGGATTGGAGTGGCAAGCAGAAGATGGATGGCTTGTACCAGCTAGCTTCTGCCGTGCAGATATTCTAAAAATAAAATGTGCCTTCTTAAAATAAACTTTTTAAAAAAGGTCAATGACTTCAACTTTGGGCTTATTAATACCCAGATCAAACCAAAATAAGTTAGTCACACGGAGGACTGACTGATGACTGATTTCAAATTGGACGGTTTCCATTTTAGTGGGCAAGGGTCAGCAGCATTTTATCTGGTGAAAACTATCGAGCTAAATATTAAATGTTAATCAGGAAGATAAAAAGAAATGCCTTTAACATCTGACTAGCAAATGGAAATCAAAACTTCCACGTGTGAACCCAGCATCATAGCTTGGTCCCATGATGGGTTTCTAAAGGACACTCTGTGATCCTCCAGTTGAGCCTGTTGCTTTCAAGTGGCTGACGGGTCCCTTCTAAGGATGAGGCTGTATGTGGGGCCCAGGTGCTGGCAGGTTGAGCACCTGACAGCAGCAATAGCTAGATCAACCATGGTGAACGGGAGCCCACATGAGCCCTGCTCATAAGCCTTCATCTCTGTCAACAGTTCCGCTCCAGGGGCCAACGGTACTAGCATGCGAATGGCTGTAGACGGGGGCCGGGTGAGGTCAGCCGGCTGAGTCATTCTGTCTCCTTGGTAGTTAGTGCCCCTTCCGTGGTAGGTGATCTCCACTGGGTGCTGATATGTGGTACAGAGATCTTCATATTTTACATCCACTTCCTTTGGTCATTCACATGCCTCTTCTCCAGACTTTCTTAGCCCTGATCTTCAAGTCTGTCTTTTATAGGCCCTTTAAACGTGCAGCTAAGCCATTCACTATTACCCATGAGTTCATATATATTCTTATTTTGGGCCAATTCTACACAAAGTATTTAGTCCATAAAGCTCTGCCTGTTGGGAGAGTTTTCCCTCACTGCTGATTTCGGGGCCCCCTTCAATAGGACTGTAGTGCGCAGCAGCCTTTTTTTAGCTTGCACCCCCCACCATGAACCAACCTATCCATAAACTAAGCTTGGTTTTTTTGATCCTCCACCAGCTCATCACAAAGGGAATACCCTTCCCCTCCCCGCCGGTGGCTACAGATGTAAGGTGAGGATGAGGGCCCATGCAGGTGTTTAGTGATGTGTGGGTCTGGGACACGTGCTCATGCAGCTTACTCGTGTCCTCTGGCCCATGCTCATGCCTGCTTTCAAATATTCCATTTCCATCTTCCAGTGAATTGCTGCTGGGTCTGACAAATTTCTGCTTATGATGAGCAGCTCTAGCCAGATGGTTACCTACTGCTTCGCAGTCAGACCTTTTGTCTTTACCAGTGTGCCTGGTAGCATGCCAAGAGCAGTCTTCTGAATGGTGTGTAATTCTCCCCTGCTCATGGCGTGATCTTGCTCTTGAACCACAGGGGTCTATGTTAAGATCTTCCCAGCTTTAGTGGAACAACGCATCAGAGAAGCCATGAGGGATACTTGACAAACATCCCCTTCAAACCGAAAGATGCACATAAGAGGTGAGCTTTTTTATTAGACGGTTAAAACTCGGATCTCATATTTTATACCTGCATGGTAGCTGACCACTTTATGATTAGTAGTCTCTCAATGCCTGGGTAGCCTCAGTTAACACTGGTTTTTAACTCTTGAACAGTTAAGCTCATCTTACATAAGGGTCTCATATGCTCATCTCTTATCTCTTCCAATCTCCCCTTCCAGTCCCATCACGTATTACCCACACCCACCACCATCACCATTATCCATATTTGCAAAAGGAGATCTGAAAGTATGGTTTTATCTTGATTTTATGCTTCGGCAGTTAGAAAATGGTTTGTCATTTTGTATTTAACATAGCAATTGTCATGACAATTTGATGTTACTGGTTAGGTGGTGTTCCCTTCTTTGCATATGTCTATGGTGTGATGGTTGCTATAACAACAGAACGAGGAGCTGACACCATGGATTTTTAACAGATTGCTGATGCTTGTGAAAAGAACTTATGGGACATACTTTCAGAAAAGAGCTCACAGGCTCAATTATTTAAATTGTTGGGTATTTGTAGGAATAAGGCTGTGACTCTGTTCCAGAAACATGAAGGCAGTAATCATTCTGTCACAAAGGGTTGCACACCCATAGCTCTAGTGTAGGCTTATCACTTCAATCATTTTGTACAATTTGATGGAATTCCAGTGACACAGTGCTGATTGATCCCTGTTCGTGTGGGACAGTCAGGATCTCCCTAAGTGCCCTTTGAAGATTCTAACAGTGAGAAATGAGAAGAGGGATTCTATTATAAGTAGGCTTCAAAAAAAGGTGATTCTTCTAGAGAAGCAGGACTATAGAAAAGCTAAAAAATCACAGCAGAAAAGGGCATTTCTTGTTTTATGATCACTTGAGATTAGACTCTGAGGTGATTACCTCATACATAGGTTAGAGCATGTAACAATGTACAGAAATAAGTGGCTGTTGGGCACTAATGTTTCCACAAGGTCACTCATTTAAAGACAGACCACTTGATTTCTCAAGAAACTACTTTATGTCACTTTCATGTCACAGACTTCACATTCATTCTCCCTTTTCTCCATTAATTACTGATAATAAAAGTATGGCTTTATGAGATATTGTGAAGTGTATTAGGTAACTAGATGTCTTATTTTGATTAGTAATATCATGGTTTTTAAAATAAATTTTGCTAGGTGATCAAGTTTCTTTGGAAAATATTCCAGGGACATAAAAACTTTATCACTGACTTCCTGTAGAAAAACTATGAGGTCTTTATCTTCGTAGTGGCTGGCACATATCCCTCCAAAAAAAAAA